ATATGCAAGTTAAATTCTGGAGTTAAAAAGTAAACTTTGGAAATAGCCATGTCTGTCCTTTTGAAATATGGATTCAGAAAGTAGGTCTTTCTAAATGATTTATGCTTTGTGGATTGGAGACTCTGACTTCAGGATTCAATCAATAATTCAAAAATATTTCATGAAGACTTAATGAAAACAAGAAATCTAAACTAAATTTTTATCTTCAGATTAGAAAAATCCACAAAAACTACACAGTCACTGAAATATCATATAAAGGGCAACAGAGAAGGAGGGGCAAGAAGCGGAGATGGTGAGTCAAGAAACCTATCTCTCTCTCTCTCTCTCTCTCTCTCTGTCTCTCTCTCTCATTTCATATCTATAAATAGACGGCCGCCTGGCAGCTGAGGGGTAGTCCGCGTAGAACAAATGCAGCCTCCGGCTGTTTCACTTCATTCCCCACATAATGAGCCAGACGGAACAAGCGCAGATCGCCGCCGTCACTTCCTCTCTTCCCAGCCACCGCCGCCGAGCCAGAGAGGCAAGGGCCACACGTTGCCATGGAAACGTGGCTGCTGGGCAGAGGCGAGGAGGTGGAGCGGTGGGGGGGGGGGGGGTTCTCAATGTGAAGGCAGTTCTGCACACACACACACTGAGACCCCCCTGAAAGACAGACAGGCAGACAGACGGGGCCTTGCTGCCTCTGGAGAGCAGTAGATGAGCTCCAGAGTCCTGAACTGCCTCCCGGATGTAATGGAGTCGGCGTGGGTGGGTGGGTGCACCTCGCAAACCCGGCCTCCTCCTCCTCCGCTAACATATTCCAGCCCAGTGAACCTCTGAGAGCTCAGGACTATCTGACTAACTGCAGGACTCCCAGTTGGGGGGCAAATATTAGTCTTCATGGATCTTATCTGAGCTGAGAGCGCATACATTATGAAGAGTCCGGCCTGCGCTGCTCGGTTCGGAGGAGGTGAGCAGGTGGCGATGTTCTCCTTTAGCACCATTATTTCCACGGGAGGACGTCTGAGGTCAAGATTTTTAACAGCATCTGATGTGACTGTGTCTTTAGCAACAGTGGGACTCAGTGCAATGCATTGCAAAAGTAATCCCCAAACGTCTCTGTATTAGCGCTGCAGCTAACGATTGATTATTCTATCGATTATTGTGACGATTAACTGAGTAAACGGACAAAAAAATGGAAGTTGTAGATTTTTAAGTTTAACTACTTAAGTTTAGTTTTTACTATATTAAAATTATGTACAAAACATTCAAATAAATAATTCAATTCCTTTTCCTATGTAGGAAAATAAATCATTTTATGCCCTAAAATGCAACAACTTGCATTCCTTTAGTGTATGCTCGATCATTTGTATTAAATAACAAATCTGCAACTGAATAAATAGTAAAATAAATATTTAAATATGTCTGTTTCACCTAGCATTTCTATAGTGCTTAGTTGATGTGTAAACTATTGTTTTCAATTAACTAATTAATAGCAAAATAAGATGCCAAATGATACTTGGCTCACTTTGCAGAATTTGAATGGTGAAGCTAAAAATAGCACCACTTGAGAAGTTCTGGGTAGAAAACATGTTTAGAAAAAAAAATTGTTTTTCATCTAAAATGCAAAATGTCTGTAATTTCTACAGTTTTGGCTTGATTAGTGTTCTGAATGTGGTTTAAATTCAGCAAATGTCACATTTCAGAGTTAGTTACAATAGAACGGTTCACATCAAAACACAAAGTAATAAATACAATAAGTTGAAGTTTGATGCTTGTGGTCGTTCACTGGGAGAAATGATATAGCAACATAAGATCCTCCCAGGCAGTATCTCAGATATTGCTTCTGCTCCTACATGATGGCCTGGAGTTACAGCAATGTGCACAAATAATTTACATTTCAAACACATCTTCATGTTTATTTTTATGCAATATTCTGAAGCAGGACTGCAGACCTGTTTCAACCCAAACATCGTCAGACGGTTTCCCCTCAGCTCCAGTCAAAATGCTGCATTATCTGCATATGATTCACGTGCATTTTTTCTTCTGTTGCTGTGCATAAGGGTTGTTGATCCAGAATATGACGCAAGTTGCCTGATTTCTTGTTTTTCTCTTTAATTGTGGCACAATGAAACTTTCTACAGCTTCCAGTTTGCAAATCTCATGAGAATGAACAAGTTTGAGATGAAACAATGTGGAAGATGTGAAGCGAGTCCAGCTGGCGGGCTCGTGCCTAAAAATACTCTCTAAACTCTCTGCTTTAAATTCGGGTCAGCCACACAGTTTTTTAATTTACAACAATTTAAAACAAGCAAAAGTCTCCAAAACAGTGGAGCCGAGAGGGAAGCTGACGCTCCAGCTGTAACGGACTTCAGGTCGCTGAGAGGAAATGTCGTCAGTGATCTGGGTGATGCTCCCCTTCAGCCGGGCCTTCCCTTCGTTTAGGTAGAACCGTGCGACTCTCCACTCCTTGCTCTTTTCATCCCGGGTCCTCGGGGAGGAGTCGTGTTGTTTTGCTCTCCATCTCACACACACACACACAAACACCTTCGCACGGCTTCTGCAAACACTCTGCAGTGACAGCAAATGGGCCCTGGGGTCTGAGGTCCTTTAATCGTGATGCAAGGTGACTCTTTACCTTTCTTTTTTCACAGCTTCACTATTCATTACTGACCGCTGTAAGTGGACATGGCTCAGGGGTGATGTCAGGATTAGATCTGCTGATGACCGCCCCCCTCCACCACCTCCACCTCCACCTCCTCTCCTAGCCAGGGACTCACATCCACCGGCTGTTTTTTATTTTCCTGCTGAAGTGATTGCAGCTTAAAAATGATCAGCATGCATAAAGTACCATGTGTTGTATGAAGAGAGAGAGAAAAATACTAAATAAAAACACAAAATACCAAAATGCCATTTACTGTTGCTGACATTTTCTTCCTGCTTTAAATTCTCTACATGTGTTTGGATAAACTGGTTTGAGCAAAAAAGTTTAACTCAGTTCAAATCAATTCAAAATACTCTCCTGATCGCAAAGGGAAACTAAACTCTTCATAGAGAAAAGGTTTCTATTTCAAAGATCTTTATGTATTTACTTTTTTCTTTTTTTTCTTTTTTTACCATAATGCACTATTTTCAATCCACTATAGAGCAATGAACTACTTTATGTTAGTCTCAAGATTAAAATCCCAAATGAAAAACTATAAAGTTTGTGGTTGTAACATGACAAAATGTGGAAACCAGAGCTGCAGCTAACAGTTACTTAACTACTCGATTTGGATGATTAGTCGATTGATCTGATAAAAAAAACAAAAAAAAACAAAACAGTTGCCACATTCTGCAGATTTTTTCTTTAAGCCATGTTTTATACAATATTAGAAATACAGTACAAGATGTGAATAAAACTCCTTTTTCAAATAAGAAAAATACATATTTTCTTTCTTTTCCTTTTTCTTTTAAGTCTTTCTTTAACAAACTCTTGGTCGTTTGTAGCAAAGGATGCATCTGCAGCTGAAATTAAAATTTTTGTGCTTCATAATTTGAACCGGGTGAAGCTAAAAACCAACACCTGAGGAGTTGTGGGTGGAACATATTTACAGTTTAAAAGATTTTTCATCTTAAATGCAAAATGTTTATGTTTTTATACCATTTTGGCTTCACTGCTGCCATGAGTGTGTTGTTCTTTCAGCACACAGCTTTCTTTAACGATTAATTGATTACTAAATTAGTTGACGATTATTTCAATAATCTATTAATCGCAATTAGATGAACTGTTTCAGTCCTAATGGAAACAACCGCATTGTGACATACGTCAAGCTTCGCAGCAAACGCATTAATGGAGCAGAAGATTGAGGTCAGCTTTCTAATGTCACCATTAGGTCACATTACGAACTCATCTGTTGGAGGGAAAACATCGGCAGGTGTTTTTTTTTTTTTACAACTTTCCTCCATTAATCATCTCTAAACTCTGATGAAAGAAACGAGAATCGGTCCAGAACTCCAATCATATCCAGTCATACAACGCGTGCTGGCTGCTGGTTCACTCCACCAGCCTACACATAAATCTATCCGGAGTGTAAACAGCTGCCACACTCCTTCATTCAGATAAGAAAACTTCATTATAAAAAAAAAAAAAAAACTAACTACATCCATACATGAGGAGGAGCTGCCT